ACTGCCGTCACCACCCCCCCACCAACAGTAACAAAACCATCAATAGCAATATCCACCAAAACTTCTAATTTGCTTATTAATTTGCTTTATTATTTGTAAATAATTCAGAATCTCTCTGAGATCAAAATCCTTTTTTATTACAACATGTTAATAGTAGTCTAATTCAGACCTGCCCTGAGGAAGAACCAAGCAATGAAGCCGTCCATGATTTTAGAAGTTAATTGACTTATTCTTTCTGACCATCTAGATAGTCCCCATATTATTTTAGGCTCCTCTTAGTTAGGTCCACTACCTCATTATTATCCATTGGCCTGGACTTTGGTCTCACTTATACAGCAAGTAGTAGAGCCTATCACTGTCGACATGTAAACATTTGCATATTTTACATTTATAGAGATACTTTTCACATGTCTCATTTGATCCACTAACATCTGTATGCTTGGACGATGGAATAATTCAACAATGTATAGCTAAAACCATCTAAACCCCTCAAATATTATCATCTGATGGGAAGGAAAAGGGGGAAAGAGGAAATTAAATATAGTTATTTCAATTCTTGGCATGATTGACACTGACAATTAAAGAGTAAATTCCATTCAGTATTTTCTTCCAGCTCATGAGAGTTGGCTGTAAGGATACTTTGCAAGTCAGATTTGTGGGCAGATGTTTGCAACCTAAATTGCTTCAGTTGCATGAAAAACTCACAACCTTTTACTGATTTTCATCCTGGGATCTCTTTAACAAGGAAAAACCTCAGGCCCAGGAAGTCTGGGGTAAGTGAGGCAGGGATGTGTCAAAGTGCACTTTTCCCCAGGTGCAGGGACAAGTATTTGAGTTTCTTTTATTGACCTTGCAAAGAGCTTTGCACACTTTGCATATCAGTTCTTGAGATGGGTGGGAACATGGACTGCCTGCTTTATGGAGTTCAATTAAGATTGCAGGATCATGCATTCCTTTCATTTTTGGTGCTAGTACCTAGAAGATGGGAATATATTGAACACTTAATACTTTGCTTGGGCAGGTAGCTCCAGTTTGCAGAAAGTCTAGATAGGATACTCTGCTATATATCTAGTTTTACTGAGAAGAAAGGGCCCAAGCTATTTTTAAAGAATTTTAAAGTAGGTTTCTCAGCCTGGCGTGGTGGCTCACACCTGTGATCCTAGCACTTTGGGAGGCCGAGGGAGGCAGATCACTTGAGGTCAGGAGTTTGTGACCAGCCTGGCCAACATGGCGAAACCCTGTCTCTACTAAAAATACAAAAATCAGCCAGGCATGGTGGCACGCACCTGTCATCTCAGCTATTGGGGAGGCTGAGGTGAGAGAACTGCTTGAACCCGGGAGGCAGAAGTTGTAGTGAGCTGAGCTTGCGCCACTGCACTCCAGCCTGGGCAACAGAGCGAGACTCTGTCTCAAAAAAATAAATCAATAAAATAAAGTAGGTTTCTCTATACCTTGGAATTTTCTATCTCCCACGATAACCTTTGGGTAAACATGTCCATCAAAATGGAAACAAATCAATTTTTAAAATAGAAATTATTCTCATGTCTATTTTAGTGGGAATCCCCCTGAGAAGATAGCCATGTATGACTGAATGCTCTGTGGTTGCTATTTTGTTGCTCTTGGCCAGGAAACTGATCTAGGTGACATACTTAATCTGACCTGCAGACTGGCCACTTCATACTACCAAGATTCCAAAGCAAAGTATATATACAGTCGGCCCCATGTAGCCTCTGGTTCCATGATGCAACCAATGGCAGATTGGTTGAAAAATATTTGGAAAAAGGCCAAGCGCAGTGGAGTGGTTCATGCCTGTAATCCTAGCACTTTGGGAAGCTGAGGCAGGAAAATCACTGGAGCCCAGGAATTCAAGACCAGCCTGGGCAAAATGGCAAGACCTCATCTCTACAAAAAGTAATTAGCTGGGCTTGGTGGCGTGTGCCTGTAGTCCCAGCTACTTGGGAGGCTGAGGTGGGAGGATCATTTGAGCCCAAGTGAAGGCTGCAGTGAGCCATGATTGCATCACCACACTCCAGCCTGGGTGACAGAGCGAGACCCTATCTCAAAATGAGTAACTAAATAACAAAATTTCAAAAAAAAAAAAAAAAAAAAAAGGGGGAAAAAAATGAAAAAATAACAATACACAAATAAAATACAGTATAACAACTATTTACACAGCATTTACACTTTATTAGGTATTGTAAGTAATCCAGGGATGATTTAAAGTATATAAGGGGATGTGCACAGGTTATGTGCAAATGCCATGCCATTTTATATTAGTGTAGGCTCATGGCTAATAAAGCATGAACCCGACTGAAGCTGCCTGGGTATGTGTCCTTGTTCAGCCACTTTGTGGTAGTATCTCTTTTTTCTTAACCTCAGTATTCTTATAACAGGGATGTTTTCTCTGTATAAGGCTGTTTTGAGGAATAGTTTCTATATGTAAAGTACTTAGAACAGTGCGTAGCATATGGGCCGGGTGCAGTGGCTCACGCCTGTAATCCCAGCACTTTGGGAGGCCGCGGCGGGCGGATCACGAGGTTGGGAGATCGAGACCATCCTGGCTAACACGGTGAAACCCCGTCTCCACTGAATATACAGAAAATTAGCTGGGAGTGGTGGCGGGCACCTGTAGTCCCAGCTACTCAGGAGGCTGAGACAGGAGAATGGCGTGAACCCGGGAGGTGGAGCTTGCAGTGAGCCGAGATCCTGCCACTGCACTCCAGCCTGGGCGACAGAGCGAGACTCCGTCTCAAAAAAAAAAAAAAAAAAAAAAGTGTGTGGCATCTAGGAAGCCCTTAATAGATACTGCCTTAAAAATAATTAGGTATTTCCTAGTGAGGTATACCTAACTACAAGTGCTGTTTTAACTATGCCTACTCTGTGTGCTTTACACTATATATTGTTCAAGGCTAGAATAATTAGCCCCATGAGCAGGGTTTCATAGCATGTAAGATTCCAACACCAGCCTTCAGTCATGGGTACAGGTGGCCTGTGCCATCCAGCTAGCTGCGCTGCCTCCAGACTGGGTGGCCTGCTCCTCCTCCGTTGGATAAAAATAGCCTGACTCTTCACTGAAACCACCACCATGTTATTTGTGTCCTTGGGAAGCTGAAAGTAATAGAGCTCTAAGTCTGGCATTGCCAGCTGTCAGCAGAACTGAAATGCAAAGTGCGACATGTGTCTACACTGTACCCACTGGCCTCCAGGTCGCAACTCCCATTCCCCCATCTTGATTTTTTTCCATTCTCAAATTCATTATTTCCCCTATAGGTGACTGTGGAATGGAAACAGATTTAGATTTCCTACCTATTTAGATTTTTTCCATACTAAAATTACAAAGCAGAAAAACTGCTATTGACACATTTTTGGTTAGGAAAATCTGGATGTGGTTCCTATGCCTAGCCTAGTCATATAAATTCTCTCCCCATGTATCTTTGTGTGTGTGTGAAACAGGGTCTTGTCACCCAGGCTGGAGTGCAGTGGTGCAATCACAGCTCACCATGGTCTTGACTTCCTGGGCTCAAGCGATCGTCTCACTTCAGCCTCCCTAATAGTAGGGACTACAGGCTCACATCACCACATGCAACTAATTTGTTTTGATTTTTGGTAGAGACAGGTGTCACTATTGTGCCCAGGCTAGTAACTCCTGGGCTCCAGCAGTCCTCCTGCCTTGGCCTCCCAAACTCCTGGGATTACAGGCATGAGTCACCAAGCCTAGCCTCTCCTCATCAAAACCATTCCCTCTTTGTAAGATTCTTCCTATGTCTTAAAACTTAATACCTTTAATCCTTCCCTGGAGCCATAGATTTATTTATTTATTTATTTATTTATTTATTTATGAGGCAGGGTCTCACTTTGTTGCCCAGGCTGGAGTGCAGTGGCACAATCATAGGCTCACTGCAGCCTTGACCTCCTGGACTCAAGTGATCCTCCCACCTCAGCCTCCTGAGTAGCTGGGACTACAGGTGTGCACCACCACACCAGTTTTGTTGTTGTTGTTTGTTTTTGTTTTGGTAGAAACAGGGTCTCTCCATGTTGCCCAGGCTGGTTGTGAACTCCTGGGCTCAAGCAATCCACCCGCCTCAGCCTCCCAAAGTGCTGGGCTTGTAGGCGTGAGCCACCGCACCTGTCCCTGTCTGCTCTTTTTTTTTTTTTTTGAGATGGAGTCTTGTTCTGTTGCCCAGGCTGGAGTGCAGTGGTGTGATCTCGGCACACTGCAACCTCCGCCTCTCAGGTTCAAGCCGATTCTCCTGCCTCAGTCTCCCAAGTAGCTGGGATTACAGGCATGTACCACCACGCCCGGCTGACTTTTGTATTTTTAGTAGAGATGGGGTTTCACCATGTTGCCCAGGCTGGTCTCGAACTCCAGACCTCAGGTGATCCACCCACCTCGGCCTCCCAAAATGCTGGGTTACAGGCATATAGGTGAGCCCCAGAGATAAGAGTAGCAAGCAGTGATGGGGAGAAGATAATCAATCTAGTGTAGGAAAGATGGAAAGAATGGTGACATTTCATAACTGCTAGATTGACACTTTAACTTGGGAGTTATCCCTCTATAAACTGGATATTTGCTGAGCAAAGTTTAAAGAAAGCTCCATGTATTCAGTAATGTTTTCCAACATTACTTACTTCTCGTAAGTCAGTGGCTTAGAGTGCTTGCTCTAATTTCTATATTGCGTTAAACAAGGGTGGGATTTCTTTTCATTCAAACCATTTGTGACTTTGCCCTTTAGTGACCTCTACCATCACCCTATCATTAATGATCCAAGTGATTAGAATGGATGGCTATGTGTTTGTAGGTTGTTTGTTGTCTTTAATGAATAGATTCATTGAATGGAATTAACTGTGCTCTTCTAGAACATTGGATCTGTGTTCTCATTTAGATTGTATTTGTAATCTCCCCACTCCCCACCATCAACAGTGGCATAATGTGAATTAATATATGTGGTATCTGCCATTTAAAAACCATGATCTCTCTCCTTCTTTTGTCTTAAACATAGGACATGGATTTGATTGATATACTTTGGAGGCAAGATATCGATCTTGGAGTAAGTCGAGAAGTATTTGACTTCAGTCAGCGACGGAAAGAGTATGAGCTGGAAAAACAGAAAAAACTTGAAAAGGAAAGACAAGAACAACTCCAAAAGGAGCAAGAGAAAGCCTTTTTCGCTCAGTTACAACTAGATGAAGAGACAGGTGAATTTCTCCCAATTCAGCCAGCCCAGCACATCCAGTCAGAAACCAGTGGATCTGCCAACTACTCCCAGGTAGAGTACTCCATTCTTGGGAAAGTTATGGCAGGGTTTAAGGAAACACTGACCAAGGAATTAAAGTATCTGGATTTGAGTTCCAGCTTTGCCTTTCTTTTACTTAACCTTGTCAAATCTACCTTCCAACCTCAGCCTCCTGATGAGTCCAGTACCCAACCTACTAATCTTAACAGAGTTATTGTGAGGATTGGGAAGACATAAGTTACACAAAAGAGTTTTGTAAAGTATAGAAACATCCTGTAAGGATCAAGTAGCAGCAACAGAAGTAGTGGCAGGAGAACCAAGTAGTAGGAATTACTGGCGTTACTGTGTGTGGCAAGCACTGTTTTAAGAACTTAACATATACTGACTGATTTAATCAACACAAGTATATTAATTAGGTACCATTATCCCTATTTTATCTGCGACGAGCAACTGAAGCTGAAAAAAGGTTAAATAATTTGCCCAGATCACTCAGAAAATTGGAGGAGCTAAGATTTGAACCCACGTGGTCTGGTTCAAATTGTGTACCAAAGTGATCTCTGCAATAAGATAAATATTTACCTAACTTGATTATATTTTATGAACATCAAGTATTGAATATTTTGCTTGGCAATGGAATATTTAACCATTTTTGTCTTCCTTTGTGTCATTCCCTTTTATCAGGTTGCCCACATTCCCAAATCAGATGCTTTGTACTTTGATGACTGCATGCAGCTTTTGGCGCAGACATTCCCGTTTGTAGATGACAATGAGGTGAGGTATAAAATAACCTGGTTAGGAGCAAAACTCCCTAACTATAAAATAACAATCGTATTCTACGTAAGTCCCGTCAATGAGTCTCCATTTAAAAGAATAAAAACAGTTTTAGGAGGAAATTTTTTAACCAAGGAAATACTCTGTCAAGGAAACCTTAGCCTATAGATAACTTTACAATTAAGAAAAAAATAATAAAAAACCTTCACACAATACAAAACCAAAACCATTTACTGTTGCATAGCCAGAAACATGGACAGCATAACCATGGAAACAAATAACTCATTTGCTGCAAGTATCTAAGAGGTCTTGGTGAGTAAAAAGCCAGCTGGGCAATAAACGAAGACTTCTTCAGTTAACAGTTTTAATAAATCGGTTTTATCTGGTACCACTGTGCTAGATATTATATAAACTAAATCCTAAAGATTATGCTTACTCATTTTAAAGTTTACTTCCAAATGCGTAGGCTGAAACAATTAGGCCGGCAAATAGTAAATCTGAGTCAGTGCGGTAGGAAAAAAAGATTTGTTTCATTATTTACAAAGGGTCATGACTGGTTAGTAAGTAGCGAGACACGGAACTGCAGCTGATTCCATTTTGTATTGTGGTGGTGCCTTAGAGCTTACTTATCCCCTGTTGGTGGAAGACTCATAAATCAATGCCTTATCAATTTTAGGTTTCTTCGGCTACGTTTCAGTCACTTGTTCCTGATATTCCCGGCCACATCGAGAGCCCAGTCTTCATTGCTACTAATCAGGCTCAGTCGCCTGAAACTTCTGTTGCTCAGGTAGCCCCTGTTGATTTAGACGGTATGCAACAGGACATTGAGCAAGTTTGGGAGGAGCTATTATCCATTCCTGAGTTACAGGTAACTAGAATAGAATGTAATACTGAAGATATTATTTTATATTCAGTGCCTTTAGTCATTCTGATTATTTATATGCCACCTATTTATAGGAAGGATTGGAGGGTGCTATTAAATTAGTCATGAGTACTGCCCATGCTAGTTAAATGGGTTGGATATCTTGAGGATAGAATGTTATAAACCTGATGTCTGATCCGGGAACTCTGAAAATAATACATATGCTTAGGCATAAATACGTATTGGAAGTGAGAATTATCTCTAAATTATAGAGAGAATAAATTATAGAGATAAGCCTGAAGATAATGTGGGTAGGGAGTTTATCTAAATTTATCACGTATTATCATGGATTAACTTTGATTTATATAGTATAAACTTCTTTCCCATGCAGTGTCTTAATATTGAAAATGACAAGCTGGTTGAGACTACCATGGTTCCAAGTCCAGAAGCCAAACTGACAGAAGTTGACAATTATCATTTTTACTCATCTATATCCTCAATGGAAAAAGAAGTAGGTAACTGTAGTCCACATTTTCTTAATGCTTTTGAGGATTCCTTCAGCAGCATCCTCTCCACAGAAGACCCCAACCAGTTGACAGTGAACTCATTAAATTCAGATGCCACAGTCAACACAGATTTTGGTGATGAATTTTATTCTGCTTTCATAGCTGAGCCCAGTATCAGCAACAGCATGCCCTCACCTGCTACTTTAAGCCATTCACTCTCTGAACTTCTAAATGGGCCCATTGATGTTTCTGATCTATCACTTTGCAAAGCTTTTAACCAAAACCACCCTGAAAGCACAACAGAATTCAATGATTCTGACTCTGGCATTTCACTGAACACAAGTCCCAGTGTGGCATCACCAGAACACTCAGTGGAATCTTCCAGCTATGGAGACACACTACTTGGCCTCAGTGATTCTGAAGTGGAAGAGCTAGATAGTGCCCCTGGAAGTGTCAAACAGAATGGTCCTAAAACACAACCAGTACATTCTTCTGGGGATACGGTACAACCCTTGTCACCATCTCAGGGGCAGAGCACTCCCGTGCATGATGCCCAATGTGAGAACACACCAGAGAAAGAATTGCCTGTAAGTCCTGGTCATGGAAAAACCCCATTCACAAAAGACAAACATTCAAGCCGCTTGGAGGCTCATCTCACAAGAGATGAACTTAGGGCAAAAGCTCTCCATATCCCATTCCCCGTAGAAAAAATCATTAACCTCCCTGTTGTTGACTTCAACGAAATGATGTCCAAAGAGCAGTTCAATGAAGCTCAACTTGCATTAATTCGAGATATACGTAGGAGGGGTAAGAATAAAGTGGCTGCTCAGAATTGTAGAAAAAGAAAACTGGAAAATATAGTAGAACTAGAGCAAGATTTAGATCATTTGAAAGATGAAAAAGAAAAATTGCTCAAAGAAAAAGGAGAAAATGACAAAAGCCTTCACCTACTGAAAAAACAACTCAGCACCTTATATCTCGAAGTTTTCAGCATGCTACGTGATGAAGATGGAAAACCTTATTCTCCTAGTGAATACTCCCTGCAGCAAACAAGAGATGGCAATGTTTTCCTTGTTCCCAAAAGTAAGAAGCCAGATGTTAAGAAAAACTAGATTTAGGAGGATTTGACCTTTTCTGAGCTAGTTTTTTTGTACTATTATACTAAAAGCTCCTACTGTGATGTGAAATGCTCATACTTTATAAGTAATTCTATGCAAAATTATAGCCAAAACTAGTATAGAAAATAATATGAAACTTTAAAAAGCATTGGAGTGTCAGTACGTTGAATCAGTAGTTTCACTTTAACTATAAACAATTTCGTAGGACACCATTTGGGCTAGTTTCTGTGTAAGTGTAAATACTACAAAAACTTATTTATACTGTTCTTATGTCATTTGTTATATTCATAGATTTATATGATGATATGACATCTGGCTAAAAGCAAATTATTGCAAAACTAACCACTATGTACTTTTTTATAAATACTGTATGGACAAAAAAATGGCATTTTTTATATTAAATTGTTTAGCTCTGGCAAAAAACAATTTTAAGAGCTGGTACTAATAAAGGATTATTATGACTGTTAAATTATTTGTTTGGGATTCCTTTGAGTTTATTCACAAGTAGTATTTTCCGTAAGATAATCATCCTTTTAATTTAGATGTTTTGCATTTTCACAATGTTTTATTTGAAAATATAAAAATCATTTTATACTAAATTTCTAGTACCAGGGTTACAGAAAAATAAAGTATATCAAGAGGATACTTTGCCTCTTCAATAGCAAGTACATCTAAACCCAAGAAAATGTTATACACTGACGTGAAAGCATTGATTCATTTATTTCCATCAGTAGATATACGCCCACTATACACTAGGCACAGTTTGAAGTAGAAAGGACAAAACCAATATCCCTGCCCTGGAACTTGCATTCTAGTGAAGGGGAGGTAACAAGCATACTCCACTATGTTAGAAGGAATTGGATGGGGAAAACCAGTAAAAAGCGTCACAACTTAAGGCTGTAAATGGGAAGAGCGTTACTGAAGTGGCAACATTTGACGATGTGGGGGAGAAGCCGTTCTCATAGCCAAGAACACTGTAGACAAGACACAGCGGGTCCAAAGGCGGAACCACATTTGAGAAAAAACAAGGACAATGTGGCCGAAGAAAGGGATGGTGGTGGAATATGACAGAGCCTTGTAAGTCTACATAAGTGAGGTGGGGAGCTAATGGTGCTGTTCAGCAGTAACATTCAACTTTTTTTAAAGTTCCCTCTGGGGTTTGTGACTGCTGGCAGTGGCTGCCTAGCTTTCTGGTAAAGGAGTGCAGTTAGTGGCAGGTGGCTGTACCAATCCGGATGGAGGAGAAAGAAGCTGGGCTGGTCAGTACAGTGGTGGCAGCTGGACTGACCATTTCTGCTGCAGGTTTTGCAAGCCAGGAAGCACATATAGCCTGAAGTAAAAGAGTATTTTCAAAGTCTACCAAAATCTGCCTTCAGCGGTGGCTATTAGAGAGGTGGGTTTGAACCCAAAATGACAAAATGGGAAGCAGCAATACTACCTGTTGTAAGCCTTACTGCCAGGAAGGGAAAATAAAAGAGATGCTCAGTAACAAATATGATCTTAAATCGCCCAAAGAAGGATCTCCTTATATAGCAACCCAAATCAATGAAGCTAAGGATTTACTAGGTCAAGCCCAAAAAAGAAAGAAATGTATGATGAATTTTAGCTTCCTACTACTTTTTATGTATATAAATACCAACTGGTTTTTTTTTTTTTTTTTTTTTTTTGACGGAGTCTTGCCCTGTCGCCCAGGCTGAAGTGCAGTGGTGCAATCTCAGCTCACTGCAACCTCCGCCTCCCGGGTTCAAGCGATTCTCCTGCCCCAGCCTCCTGAGTAGCTGGGATTACAGGCGCGTGCCTCCACGCCCAGCTAATTTTTGCATTTTTTAGTAGAGATGAGGTTTCACCATGTTGGTCAGGCTGGTCTCAAACTTCTGACCTCGTGATCCGTCTGCTTCGGCCTCCCAAAGTGCTGGGATTACAGGCGTTGAGCCACCGCGCCCCGGTTGAGTATCAACGTTCTATAAAATGCCTCAGAGCTACAACTTTTAAAGTTTCCTCTGGCTTGTATGTTGAGAACAGTATAGAGGGTAAGGATGGGAGTAGGGAAACCGATTGAGAGGTTCATGCATTGTGATGGTGGTTTGGTCCAGGGTGATAGAAGTGGGTAGTCAGGGACATCGGATTCTGCCACGTCTCAGAGAACTAAAAAGATTTTCTGGTAGAATGGATTTGAGTCAGGAAGTTTAACATCTTTAAGAATTGAGTTGTCCAAGGATGGAGAAGACAGGATAGAGGGAGACCCAGGTGGGAAAATCAGTTCCTTTTTGGACATACTGAGAGATCTATTAGACGTTTAAACTAGAGTGCACAAAAATAAGTTCCCTCAAAACCCTTTGAAAATCTGCATGCTAATGAATCATTCAGTTATTATTTCCTCACCTAAGCACGTTTCACTTGTTCATATTGTTTTGCCTTTTTAAAGTGAGGAAATGGAGATTCATTTAAGTATGTTTAAAATAAGCACTGCATGTGTTAACTATTCAGTGAAGACTCCTAGCAACCCATTAGGAGCGATGTAGTGTTAGAAATCCTGTCCCTGGAACCAGACTGCATGGGCTTGCTGCTAATTCCTAGAATGACCTTTAGTAACTCACTTTAGTTTTTTTTTTTTTTTTTTTTTTTTTGAGACAGTCTGGCTCTGTCACCCAGGCTGGAGTGCAATGGCGCTATCTCGGCTCACTGCAAGCTCTGCCTCCTGGGTTCAGGCCATTCTTCTGCCTCCTCTTAAGCGTGTTTTCTCATTTAAAAGCAGAGTGGTACTCAGTGGGTCACCCCCACAAAAAGCACTGCGCCTAGCTCATAGTAAACATTGCATAAACAATGGGTGTGTGTCAGTTTCCTTTAGTCTTGTATTATGCTTTTTGGCTACAAGTGAATCCAAATTAGCTTACAAGAGAATTTTACTGCTGGGATTGAAAATGACTTCAAGGACTAATGGATCTAAGGGTTCAAATGTGAAGATTTTGTGTTCTTCTTCTTCTTGAGATGGAGTCCCACTCTGTTGCCCACGATGGAGTGCAGTGGCACAATCTCGGCTCACTGCAACCTCCACCTCTCAGGTTCAAGTGATTCTCCTGCCTCAGCCTCCCAAGTAGCTGGGATTACAGGTATCCGCCACCCGCCGGTTTTTTTTTTTTTTTTTTTTTTTTTTTTTTTGCATTTTTAGTGGAGACAGGTTTTCACCATGATGACCAGGATGGTATGGAACTCCTGACGTCAAGTGATCCTCCTTGGCCTCCCAAAGTGCTAGGATTACACGCGAGCCACCACGCCAAGCCCAAGATTTTGGGTCCTGAATATTTTTCACATGCTATCAAGGAACTTCCTTCCTCTGATGGTGTGGTGATGGGGAATCTCGGGAGAAGACATCACTTTTCCAAACTCAGATAATCCCAGGTCTCGAACAAACTATATTCTTACACCAAATTGTGAGTGGGGAGATGGTGGCAAGAATCTCAGCAGCAGCCCTATCTGGAGCACCTAACACTGACTGGTATTTGAAGGGAGAAGAGCATTGCTGGGCAGACAAAAACAGACATTCTTTGGCAGTAAACTTCAAAGTATTCTGACCAATTCATACAAGGTAACTGGCCATAGAAACTTATGGTACCTAAAAATACTACAGTGAAGTATAAAACATTGTGAGAAATTATAAATTTCAAATAACAAATCCCAACTATGCCATGACTAATAAAACCAAGTGTTCATTTCTCTTAATTTGCATTTGCGTTGAGAGCTTTATACCTGTGCTCAAATTTGACTATCAAACTGTAATTGCACAACACTTTATATGAAAACCTATCTTCTTGCCAAGATTTCCCAAGTTCCTGTTTTTAAGGGGGGCACTGCTCAAATGTTTGCCATATCCGTATTTGTGCCTAAGCTTCAGAATACATACATTTAAACATACCTACCAGGGTGCTTTGTCTTCAGTTGATGCTGTTTAACACCTGAGAACTGGAAAAAAATTAAAGACTAGAAAACTTCAATCCTATATTGGGGTGGCGGAGGGGGGAAGACATTGGCATAACTTTTATCACCCATTAGAATTTTAGGTATGCTTCAGGATATCCTTGTAAGACAGTATCCAGCATTACCAAAATACTATCTTTAGGGTCCACAAGACAGGCGCTAGGTTAGGTTCTTTAAGCTATTGAATTTAACTTTCTGATTGAGGGAAGGGATTATAAATCCATTTTACCAAAAAAAAAGAAAAAGAAAGTGTGTGTGTGTGTGTGGGGGGGGGGGGAATCAGGTTAAAAACAGGAGTTCTTAACCTGTATAGTTTTTAGGTCTGAGAATTTTGATGGGAAGAAACTTTCTTCATTTTTACTTCATTTCCTTCAATATTCCAGGCAACAAACTACTGGTATTTCACTGTACTTGGCTTAAAGTACAATTTAAACCACATTATCAATTATGCATCAGAACTTCAATGTTAGAAATCAGACCCACCATTAGGCCTAATTTAGTGTTTCAAGTACATTAAGTCATAAACTTAATATTTTGGTAATTATTTTCATGTAACATTTGAGTAATCTCACCTGCATCTCATGCCATGTAAAAATCAACATTCTAAGGGGCCTGCTGGAATACCAATCTGCCAGAGAGCATGGCATTAAAAGGAACCAAGTAACCTGCCCACGCTCACAAAACTGCTTTTACATTCTGTATTTACATTTCTTACTGATAAAATCTGACCCAAGAATCAGAGTAACAAAAACTACGAATTACGTTTTCTTTCAGTACCTATTGAGAGTAAGACCACTGACTTCAAATAGACAATCCATCAGAATTCTTTTGATATAAAGGATGTAAGTTTACTCAGCATTTACCGAACAGCATAGTTAATACAATTTAAAAATTAAGTTACCTGGAGCCTCAGATACAGCTAAACATTTTACACAATTCCCTTACGATGACAAGTCCTTTAATTAGTGGCTATATATATGGATGTAGTCAATGAAACTCTTCCATATATTTTAAGGTATTTTTAAGCTGTCAACATTCTTGTGTATACCCTTCACCCAGTTACTATTTCTTTACCAATAAAAGTTGAACAGTATGGGTTAATGCCCATTTCCTAGCAAGCTTTCAGAACTGTGCACAATGTACACTTCAACGCACCCTTGCCATTACCTGGTGTTAGGGTCTCTGAAAATTTGTTAAGCTTAAAATGGCTTTTATCTATCACCACCTTACATCCCCCTAAACCTTGGCATTGTAGTGTATTCAATCCAAAGTTAAAAATCAACCCAGTGTATCCAATTTTTGCAAAAGAAAACAATCTTTACATTTACTATGTCTGTGACGCACACATGCAAACTCTAATTTTATCTCATTTCCTATTTTGCTGTTTATATAACAATGTCCTTTCACTGTGAGAAAACAAGGGTAAATATACTTTTGTTGGAAATAAGTCCACACTCGTCCTTTATTATTCCAGGACCTAAGTATTAAACTGAAATT